TCTGCGCATGCCAGCCCATCTCCTTCCAGGGCGAGCGCTATTTGCACTCCCAGAGAGTGATTGGAAAAAGTGCCGCGGTGGACAGCCAATGACGTGGAGAAAGAACATGAAGGCAACCACAAGTTTGGCGGCAGTCGGACCTGTCCGTCTTCCAGGTTGGGGAGCACGAGATGCTGAATCGCAGTAGTTGGAAACATTATACATCATGGCCCGCAACAAACAGCAGTGGTGCTCTGCCATTTTACCATACTTTTGATGTACACAAAAGCTCAAAAAAGAAAACAAAAAATACAAAATAGCGTGTGTAAAACCAAAAAATCGTTTCCCAGATTTTTAATCAGTTTTTGTTCCCATCTTCTTCACCTTTTTCTTCTGTCATGATGCTGATGGCACAATTTATGTTATTAGACTGTGAATATATATATATATATATATATATATATATATATATATATATATATATATATATATATATATACTCATCCACTGCAAGAACTATGTCTGAACTGGTAGAACTGCATAGTTGCATGTTCAGTTCTTGGTAGAATGTCTTTGGCAGCATCAGAATTGCAGTCGATGGGAGCATAAGCGTCTTGTACTACATCGTGAACCAACCTTAGTTAATGTTCAACGGACTGCCCATAAACGGCTGTTCACCGGAATACAATCAACCAACGATGATTCAGACCTGGAGTTGAGAACAACGGCCACCACAGTTTGACCAGAGGCTGCCGCATCAGCATCTCCGGATGCGTGCAACCAATAGCGAGAGGACAAGCTGGGCGCAGCTGCTTCAACAACGAATGAGAGTTATTGATCCCAGTTTCGGATACGCAACACACATCAATACTCAGTGAGTCCAACGTGCGTGCGAGTGCCGTCTGTTAACCTACTTGTCTCGGTCATCATCAGAATTATACCCATTAGCTAGAGGTGGAAATACCTCAGCTATTGTACCGCAATACATTAAAAAGAAAAGAAAAAAGCAACGAAGGCACGCCAGCTGATTCACCAGTAACAGATGGACACCATTCTGGAGAGCTAACAGCCGGCTATTGTGTCGCAAAAAGAAGTATTATTTTATGCAGGTGAATTGAGATCGTGGTTGGAAGGGGAGGCTAACTGGGAGGAGAGACAAAGAAACTCACAACACGAACGCCACAGAGGTCGGCTCCTAGTCTAATTAACAAGTGAATCCAGCCAAACGTATTCATGGTGTTTCGGACTCCAACCAGGGAGCCAAGAGGCTCCAACCGAAGCCAACTTCGAACTAATGGCGTTCATCTCTCTTGACCAAGTTATAGCTTGGTCACCTCTCTTCTTCTTCCGCCCTACATCTACGGCGTGCAAACAACGCATGTCGCGAGAGTCAGAGAGATGGCATGCGCAACACGTGGCCCAGCCATCGGAGCCTGGTGTGTGATCTAACGGTGCCGCGCTGTTCACTCCTTTTTCCTGTGTCATAAACGAGGCGTCGAACAGTCATTGCTTACTCGGTGTTCCCACCAGATATGAACCAAACAGCGAAGGCACGGGTTGTCGAACGTAACCCCATGTTGAGACTGCTGCTTCATCTGCGCACATCAAGCAACACAAGAGGACACCGGTACAAGCTTGTCGTACCGCATTTGAAGCGGGTCGCTCACCAACTCTGTTTCGAACGGAGAGTGGTGAACGTATAGAACGACCTACCGCAGCACATAGTTGAGGCAAAGTCGGTGTCGGAATGTAAGTAGTTCCTGGAAAAACAATTTGCCGACGCAAAATATACTGAGCGCAACACAACATAACGGGTCTTTGTCCCTGAGTGACATTAGATGCAGCTACACAGAGCAAACTCTACTTGCTACTTCCAACCAGTAATAATAATAATAATAATAACCAGCATCTTTACGTATGCGGATTTAATGGGTCAGGTTTCAAAACCGTACAGTAAGGTTGAATGTATGGTGAAGGTTGAACGCCGCCACGGAATCGGGACAGCGTGGCCTTACAAGGGACTGTTGCTGATAGGCGTCTAGTGGGTGATAGAAGATAGCTGCAGATGGTTCGACTCTAGCGGCATTACGGCTGCTGCCAATTAAGATGGGATTTAAAGCAGGAAGGTTAGTAATGGGGATCGGGAGTTGAGTAAAAGTAACAAGTGGAAAAGGAAGAAGGGAGTAGTAGCAAGTTTTCGTTAATCCGCCCGGCTGTATGCAGCAGATAAGGTGACCTCTGATAAGCCACGCGACGGCTGATGCAGGAAATAGTTAATGTTTGAGGTAATTGTCGTGGTTGTATGTGGGCTGAGAGACTACCAGGGCGCCCACATCTAGACAGGACGATTAGGGTCCTCAACCAAAGCCTTCGGCCCAAAAGACTGCGGGCAGGTGACAATGACTTCGTTTTACAGAAACCGAAGCAATCACACTTCAAAGCCCAAACCTGGAGGACCACGAGATTGAGTTTGTCTGACATCGGATCACTGACCAACCTGCTCTCCAGCAGCGCGCGGGCACCAACCAGTATAGCTCAGTGGGTTAAGAAGTTAAGCAAACTATCGCACCACGTTAAGATCTAGTTTCATTGCGATGGCCGAGGTATCAGCATGTCAATTTGATAAGCATGGTCGTCAATTAATTTGAAAAATCAGGGAGAGATTCAAAAGAAAATCACCTAAATAAATTTAACCTTCTCGATGCTGTGCAACACGGATTACGAAAAAATTTTCATGCCTGAAGAATTTACTTGTGGCCCGCGAAAGCTGGGCTGTGGCAGCAGACAGAAGCCACGCTGTTGACGTGTGTTTAGCTCTTTTCGAAAGCCTTTGATGTCGTTCCCCAGCTACGACTCTCACTAAAGTTAAGGCCTTAGGAGATAACTAGTGGCGACCTTAAGAGGTATCTGCAGTTCGGGAGGGGTACAACAGTGTGTACGCGTAGGGCGTATTCCTTCACCCAGGTAAGCTGTTCTTAGTGGTGGTCTGTAGGATTCGTTATCATGGCCAGTATTGTTGACAATCTACACAAGTAATTTGCCTGAGGAGCTCGCCGTATCGTTTCTAGAATATTGTGTATATCCTTAGTAGTCATGAGACAACCCAGAGTGTCATGGTTAAGTTGTGGAATCGGCCAACCCTATGGTTGATCTCCATTAATTAACAATAACCGGTATGCAACTATATACTTAAATATGTGTGTGACCGAATAAGCATAAGGTGAAAAATGAATGACGGAAGTTCCACACTTATGTCCACGGCAGTCTTAAGCTGATAAATAATTGCTTTTTAACACACAGGGCCGGCTTCATCCGGCTTATCGCAACCGCCTCGGCGAAACGGAGGAAGCGGGGATTAGGGTGACGTAATACAAGTGTGAACGCTGATCCGAGCTCTATCCGGTGACGCGTAGTCAGTAGGTGTTTACCTATTGAGGAAGCTGGCGGTTTGCGCAAGCACGGAATTTCAGTGGGACAGGGATTCTGGTCAATTTCACGTTGAACCCACCTTGGCACGTGTTCCTTTATTCGGGAAGTCAAAGACCGATTGGTTCTGCCTATGTAACTGTCTCCGCAT